ACCCTCTATCCCGAAATTTCTAAACCTACGCGTGTTTTCCGATACTAATTCTATATATTCTATATAATTAAAATTATCGCCGACCTGATTATTATTTCTTTCCGCCGCCGATGCTGCATCGATATCCTCCGCTCGCCTCGTTCCCTCCTCCGTTCTTTCCTCTTCCTGCGGCGCTCTTTCGAAGTCGTCGGTTTCGGCAGTCGATTCCACGCCCGACCGAGTTTCCTTCGGCTCTTCTTCTCTACCACCACCTGTTTGAACTGCAAAAAGTCAAAATTAAAAATTAGCAAATTAATTAAAAATTTGATAAAATATTATATTTTATATCTTCATGCTCGAATTTTATTTGCAATAAAATCGAAAAATTTGTAGTGTTAAATCAGCTCACCTCTAGATTTTTCTTCTTTTTTATTTTACACCCTCGTTTGATAATTGTAATCGGGAGAGTAAGAAATCACAGGGGGTCTGTATCCTGTGAAAATTTTAATGTTTAATTTTAATGTTTAAAAAATAAAATTCGAGCATAAAAGCAACTGTAAAAATTTGCAATTTTTTTTACCTCTGTCACCCATTCCCCATCCGTCGTAGCTTTGTTCATCCCCTCCTTCATAATTCCTCTCCTGTAATGCTCTTCTCTCCTGCTCTTCTTCTTCTTCTGCCTGCCTCCTTCCTCTTCCTCCTCCTCTTCCTCCTGCTCTTCCTCCTGCTCTTCCTCTTCGTCGTCAGCCCCGGGTAATATTACTCTCTGTTGACGGTCGTTATCTAAAAATTTACGTTATTAATTTTTCAAATTTTTTAGTTATTTTATGCTTCTGCTAAGATAACTTTTCTTATCACTTACTGTACAAAGGACTGAATATTTCCTCCTCATCAAACGAGCTCACTTCGCGAGGAGCCGGCTGACTCGTCGATTCGTTGCTCACAAGATCGACAAGCTCTGGCGTAAGAATAATTCGCGCGCGAGCTAAAACATTAAATTTTTTGAAAAATTTCCTAATATTAAATCAATGCTGTTATTTCATATAAATTACTTTTACGAAGGTCTATTACTTACACGAAGGTCCAGCCTCAGGCGAGGTATCGTCTCGTCGTCGTCTTACCCCGCGGCGTTGAGTAGCTCGCTCTTCGACATAATTTTGACGCTCGCTACGCACCACACCCTCCACCACCATGACTTTTTTCGGCTCGTGACATTGTAGCGTTCCTAAAAAATAATGATTTTAATTTTTTAAATTTTGTTTTAAATATTCATAATAAAAAATAGAAACTTACCATTTTTTACCGCACCACGATAGTAATTCAGCAGGCCGGCGATATAGCCTCCCGCATCCTCTTCTTCGTTGTCGTTAAACACACGTCTCATCTCGATTATTTCGCCGGCAATAATCAAAAGCTGGAGGTAAATCGAGAAATGCCCCAAACGGAATAAAACCGCGAGCACCGCGGTAGGGCACGCACCCGCAAACTTTGCGAATACGACATAATTATTATCGTCGTTGTCGGATAACGACGATAAATAATTATCGATGCAGAGCCCGTTTAAACTACGCGTCAATCGCAAACACGATTCGAT